TTAATCTTTTAGGGTTGGGTGTTAAGATTAGGTTAAAATTTCTTCTGTAATAAGAAAAGGGACAAAAATAATCACAAACTTGGTAAAGTAGAAGGGTTGATTGTATTATTTAAGTTTTTTTTTTAAAGTTAATCTTTTTTAATTTGTCCCTTCTTTTCAATGAAGATTAATCGCCAACACATCTCCACTAAAAAAAAAAAAAGTTTTACAAAGATTTCATCACAACACAAACAGGATTGTCTTAAAAATTAGTTTTTTGTTTTTGTGGGAAAATTATTCATGTGTTGAAATATTTAAACATTTTTATTTTTTAAAACAATCATTTTGTCGGTTTTCTTTCTAGAAATGTAAAAAATAGGGACTAGAAATATTATTTTAATTAGTAGCCGTGGACTTCTTGTCAGTATTAAAAAAAAATCAGAGATCATTCTTATTTGATAATCTCTGAATTAAAATTGATTTTACTGAGATATATTACCCTCTTAATTGATTTAAAAGAACTGTTCAGAAAGAAAATTACAATTTAAAATAAGGGATAGTGAAATTAGCACTTCTGACCTCCCTCCCCAGTAGGCATGGGGGCCCCCCATGCGGTTCAGAGTAGTAAACACCAGCCCTATCGATTATTATATTTGACAACTGACAATATAACTTAGGTATAAAAAAAATAGTACCATAACACTGCCAAAATTAGCCCTTTTGTGGCTCCAACCTTGTCAGGGGTTCCTTCATACACTAGCCATGCAGACACATGATATATGTTTTAGTTGATGACTGACAATGTAACATCAGTTTAAAAATAATTTTAAAAATGTTGGATGTCCATAAAACGGTGGTGAAAAGAAAATGGCAAAGGCCACAACGCCCCCACCCCAGTCAGGAGTAAGACACACCAACCCTGCCTACTCACGTTTTATCCATAGTATTCTTGTAATCACATTTCTTGCTTCAACTCTTTTCTTCATCTGTGGGGAAACCCGAGTATTCATTGTTATTTCAAACTAAAAGAATAAGTCTAGGATCTGAGCCATAATTTGGATGTGAAAAAAAATAAAGTAATTTTGTTAATACCAATGGCTCTTTGGAGGAATCGAAAGAAATTCTGAAAAATTTAATTACTTTGTAGAATTTGTTCCTGATAGATCGAGAAGCAGTCATCCAAAGACATTGAACAAGGTTCAATGTACAATCATTAGTGATGGTTGACCCTCTTGTAATGGGCTAAATAAATGATCTGAGGTACAATCACAAAAGTTACTTTGTGAAAATATTTTTAATTTACAATACATGCATGAATCTTTAGTTCATACTCAAAGAAATAAAGAATAGCTGGCTTCATTTAAAGTGTTTTCTAGGAGAAAAAGGAACCAACAAGCATCAGCACAAATGGCAATATAACTATGTAAAGATTTCGAAAAAAAAATGTATTTGAAAATATATTAAAATTAAAAACGATATAAACAACTTTTAATTTGAGAATTATGGCCCTGATTCTAGAGACTTTTACCACTAAAAGGATAGATTATTTTATTAGCAGGAATAATATTAATATTCAACATTCCAAGAATTACCCAGACAGAAAGTTAAAATATTTGATAAAATGTAATTTATATTTATTTAGAGACGTGATCTTAGAAAAGAAAAATAGAAGTGAAGGAAAAAGAAAAGAAATGAAAAAGATGAGAAGAGAAAAGAAAAGAGAGAAGGGAAGAGAAAATGAAATAAAAATAAGAGGGAAGAGAAAAGAAAAAAAAATTAAATTAAGTGTTCACAATATATTGAAAAGTGACGATGGGGAAACTTACCAAAAAAATATTTCCACAAAGTTTTCTAAAATGACCTCTTCAACCTAAGATTCATTCATTAAATTCCTTTACATCACATCATTCTCTGATTTTTGGTATTTTATATATATATAAACAAGGGGAAGAATTGTAATTTGGGGTGGGGGCTTATATTATGGAAAGTGTGCACAATACCTGTCGTTAAATATTTACATCTTTGATTCCATTGTAAATTTATTTTTCTAATTTATCAGAGCAATGGAGGTTGTTTGCTTAACCATTATTACTAAGTCGTGTTCTCAATCTTGATTGAGTGCCTGCTTTTACTTGCAACCTTGTGCTAAACTAACTGAACTGCTCATACATTATAAACTTATGTTGCAAAATAATTCCAATTTTATTTATTTGATGTCAAATTGTAAATTCAAACTTTTAGATTAATGTGATTACATAGCATTTATGAAAGATTTAAGTTTAACTGAATGTTTTTGAGAACATACAAAGGAACAAGTACATTAATGTCTACTCATTGATCATTTCATTCAATTTTTTATAAACTTCAAGGCAGAGTTTGATTGTTCAACAGAAATTTCAGTGGGGATATGCATCCTCTACACCGGATCCGCCCTTGACTTGAAGATCAGCTACTGCAGCACAAGCCTTTCCAATTTATTCCATGACAACCGTGTCTGCTATTTTCTTCTGCATCCTAACAGCATACGCCATCTTGCTTATCCATCTGCAGTCTTTCCCCACTCAGCCCCTGCTCATTGGGCACCAAACCTTTTACTCCTGTATCCTTTCTTATTGCTGTCCCCTACCCACACAGCTGCATTTTTGTTTTGTAATCACATCTTTCGCTATGGTTTCAATTGTTTATTTCAATACCCCTTTATGGCATGTCCATTTCAAGCATTTTGGCAAAATGCATTTCCTTTAAACTTTTCTATCAATCCTTTCATTAGATATCATTCCTGTGGCTTTTTCTTCAAATTTTATGAACTTCTGAACATGTTCAAAGTCAGTTTTATTTTCCAGAATTACCTGTCCCCCACCTTCTTCATTCAGTCAGGGAGAAAATAAACCAAACTCAAATAGAGAATACTCTCTACTGTTAAGGCTTTTATTTTTGCAAAATTTTTTTTTTTTTTTTTTTAAGCATTACGCCCCGAGCAAGGCGTGAAGCCACTAGGATGCAGGGGGTTGCAGAAGATTTGGAGCAAGAGCAGATAGGAGTGATAGAAGAAAGGTAGTGGGTAGATCAATTGACATTACATTTGAATAGTTGGAGATTATAGCTCTCAGGGAAACAGTAATTGTGAAGGGTGTTCCACAGGCGAGAGGTGCGAGGTATGAAGCTATTGGAGTAGAAGAGACGGCTACATTTAAAAGTTTCTACAGTGTAAGGGTGAGAGCGGGATGCCAGCCTCGTAAGGCGCTTGAATTCATGGAGTCTGGGAACCAGTGAAAGCAGCTCAAAAGGAGCAATTACGATGAAAGTATTTGTAGAAAAGACAGAGAGAGGCGACGGCGCGTCTGTGAGAGAGTGACTGTAGACGAGACGCCAGATCAGGGCCAATTATATTACATATCCGTCTCTACCTCTTGTTCAAGAACTCCGAGCCAAACAGAAAGTGGCCCAGACCATATAGGGCAGCAATGCAAGGGCGAATGGTTGATTTGTATATTTGAAGTATCGATTCCGGGGAGTTCTATTTCAACTGAGAAGGGTACCTACTAATTTTATGATCTTATTTTTAAATAATCTTATGACATTTTTCCATAAATGAAATCTCAAAATAAAATGAATGGAAATACAAATAACACAGTAAATTGTAATAAATGTACATAAAATTATAGTATTGTATGTAATCTGATACGTTATGAAATTTAATCTCACTTTAATTTTATATACATTTATCTCATAAAAGGCGAAAATACAAAAATATTAGTGCACTTAAGTTTTCCTTAAAAATAAGGAGGTAAATAAGTTGGTTAACTTTAAGAATTATCACTTCTGTCCTTCCATACAACTTTTCCTCACGTACCTGATGAAATAACTTCAGTGACACCAAATGTTATGACCTGCTTTTTTTTTTTTTTTTTTTTTTACATCTTATCGGTAATGAAAATTTCTAATATAAAAAATTTATAAAATGGGGGGGGGGACGTGTTAGGTAGCAACGAATAAAAAAAAATTTAATCCCCAAAATACTTTGATCTTTCCACTTAAAAATTTTAAGATATTTTCATTAAGTTTTTAAGGCCCTTTTTATTTATGCTATACTTTTTTTTTTCCTTTTTTAGCAATATTGCACAAGCCACCATGTAGAATCTTTGCCATTTACAAAGAGAATTAATTTCTTGTTATAAAGATTTGAAACTTACATAACATTTTGAATGTTCAGAAATTATCCAACCAATAACTGGCCTTAATTACATAAATGACAAGTACCCAGTTTCTCCACAAAGCATTCATTTACTAGAATCATAACCAGGTCGTTTTGAAAGTGAAGACGTGAAAAAGGATTCAATGTTAAATCCCTATAGAATATTTTTCAGTAAACAAGGGAAAAGAATTACAGGAGAAAATTATCCTCAAAAGAAACGCAAAAGACAATCATGCATACAGAAGGCAGAGAAGTTCAACCACCCAGGTTTCATGCAACAACCTATAAAGAATCATGGAGGATTCCTTATAGATCCAGAAAGCTTTAACTTCAAGCAAAGAAAAACCTTTTAAGCAAGTTTTAAAAATAAAAAAATTCAAAAGCATAATTTAAATAATTTTTTTTATTGAATAGGAAAAAAAGTGCCTGAAACATGTCAGCTATGATGTTTGATAAGTATTATGAGGTGAAGCTATTAACAACATGAATTGTTTTCATAGAAAACAGATAATGAAAGAAGCATCAGAGCAAAAATCTTTATGGCACAAAATTAAATGGATGGGAATGACTCAAGTTCTTCACTTACTAGGGAACAATTTTAATTTTGTAAGAGGAAAAGTAAAGAAACAGCACAAAATGCTTTAACAATGCAATTATTAGGACACGTTTAGACTAATTGAATTAATTTAAAGTTGACATACTAAGAAGAAAAATGAGTAGATTTCAAACAATTACAATGACTTTTTTTCATGTCTTAGTAATTTATCTTATTCTAAAGGAAAATTAGAATCCAGAGTAAAGATTTTTTTTTTTTTTTTTAAGTTACTTAATCAACTTCTTCCATTTTTGACTCATCATCATCATCTTCCAAAGGAGGCATATCAGAGGCCTCAGCAGTTTCAGCAGCCTCAGCAGTTTCAGTTTCCTCTTCATCATCCAAACCAAGTCCATATCTAATCATACGATTAATTCTCTTTGCATGAGATTGTGGGTTTTCAAGATTGAAGCCAGAAGCCAACAACGAGGTTTCATACATTAAATTAATAAAGTCTTTCACAGTTTTGTCATTCTTATCAGCATCTACTTTCTGTTTCAAAGCCTTGATGATTGGGTGTTCATGGTTAATTTCCAAGTGCTTCTTGGCTGCCATGTATCCCATTGTTGACGTATCCCTGAGTGCCTGGGCCTTCATGATACGTTCCATGTTGGCCGACCAACCATATTGACTGGTTACAATGCAGCAAGGAGATTCGACAAGTCGATTGGAAACAACAACCTGAAAAACAAGCACAAAACATTAAACAATCTCGAAACTGAGAGTAAAGAAAAAAAATAAATAAAATAAAAACTAAAAACTTTAAAGATATATTGAGAAACATTTAATTTACCTTTTCCACTTTCTTCTCGAGGATGTCCTTGATCACTTTGCATAAACTTTCATATTCAGTTTTGGCTTCTTCAAATTTCTTCTTGGCTTCCTCATCTTCTGGCAATTCCAAACCTTCTTTGGTTACACACACCAGATTTTTGCCATCAAATTCCTTCAATTGTTGAGCAGCATATTCATCAATTGGGTCCACCATGTACAGAACTTCACAGCCAGATTTCTTTACTTTCTCAACAAAAGCAGAATTCTTCACAGCTTCCTTGCTTTCACCTACAAAAACAATTTTCAAATTAAAATTTGAACCCAAAAAATATCAACTTGGCATTTGAAGAGGAGGGGGCGTAAAAAAAAAAAAAAAAAAAAAAAAAAAGAATGACAAAGAATGCATAGGATTCTTACCAGTAATGTAATAAATGCTTTTTTGTTCTGGCTTCATGCGAGAAACGTATTCTTTCAGAGAGACAACTTCATCGCCAGAGCTTGAAGTGTGGTATCTCAGGAACTCTGCCAACTTCTTCCTGTTGGTATGATCTTCATGGATTCCAAGCTTGATGTTCTTGGAGAATTGTTCATAGAATTTCTTGTATTCTTCCTTGTTTTCAGTCAGGGATTCAAACAATTCAATGCTCTTCTTCACCAGATGTTTGCGGATCACTTTCAAGATCTTGCTCTGTTGCAGAGTTTCACGAGAAATATTCAAAGGCAAATCTTCAGAGTCGACAACTCCCTTGATAAAGTTGAGATATTCAGGAATCAAGTCCTCACAATTGTCCATGATGAACACTCGGCGAACATACAATTTGATGTTATTCTTCTTTTTCTTGTTTTCAAACATATCAAATGGCGCTCTCTTTGGGACAAACAACAAAGCGCGGAACTCAAGCTGACCTTCAACAGAAAAATGCTGAAAAGACAAATTGTATAGATGAACAGATTTTATTTTTTTTGGAGGAGTGGTTGGCGTAAAATGAAGAAAATCCGAGGTAGCTTTAGATAAATTTACATCCTATTAAAAAAAGTCTTCCAACAACTCACCTTGACAGCCAAATGTTCTTCCCAATCATTCGTCAGAGATTTGTAAAATTCACCATATTCCTCATTCTTCACATCATCAGGATTCCTGCTCCAAATTGGTTTGGTTTTGTTTAGTTCTTCATCTTCCAAATATTTTTCTTTAATACTCTTCTTTTTCTTCTTTTTTTCTTTTCCTTCCTCTTCATCCTCTACATCTTCAATTTTGATTTTGTCTTCCTGAAGAAAGAAAAAAAATTTAAATTATTCTCCAAACCAAAAAAAACTTGCGCCCAAAATTGAGAAAGCCACTTTTCAAGATTTAAATATCAAGAAAATGAGAAAAATGCTTATCACTCACGTCTTCTTCATCTTCCTTCTTTTCTTCTTTCTTCTCTTCTTCCTCCTCCTCTTCATCATCTGACACTTCTTTGGTTCGTTCTTTCTCAACCAAAAGTTTTATGGGGTAACCAATAAACTGGCTGTGTTTCTTCACTACTTCCTTGATGCGCTTTTCATCCAAATAATCCAATTGATCTTCTTTCAAGTGCAGCACTATCTTCGTACCACGGCCCATAGACTCGGCTACAAAGAAAAAAAAAATGGTGGCAGGTGAGACTTAGAATCCATGACGAGAAAAGTTAAGAAAAGCGATGGAAGATATAAAAATAAGACAGACAAAGAATACAAAGAAATACTTACAGGTAGAATTTTTGATGGTAAAGGTGCCGCCGGCAGAAGATTCCCAGGTGTGTTGGTCATCGTCATTGTGTTTGGATTCCACAACCACCTTGTCAGCCACAAGGTAAGCCGAATAGAAACCAACACCAAACTGACCAATCATAGAAATGTCAGCGCCAGACTGAAGAGCCTCCATAAAAGCCTTCGTGCCAGACTTGGCAATGGTTCCCAAGTTATTCACCATATCAGCCTTGGTCATTCCAATGCCAGTGTCAATAAGGGTCAGGGTGTTGTCTTCTTTGTTGGGGACAATCTTGATAAACAAATCCTTTCCACTGTCCAATTTGGAAGGGTCAGTAAGAGATTCGTAACGGATCTTGTCGAGGGCGTCAGAGGCATTGGAGATCAATTCTCGCAGAAAGATTTCTTTATTTGAATAAAAAGTGTTGATGATCAAGCTCATCAACTGAGCAATTTCTGCCTGGAAGGCAAAAACTTCCCCTTCATTTTCGTTGTCACCGGCCATCTGGGAGAGGGAAAAATAAAAGAAAAATTATGACTTCCGTTAAATTGTTGAGTCAGAGTGTAATGAGGCGGAGGGAAACCTTTTTGCCACCACCGCTCGTTAAAAAAAAAAAAAAAAAAAATCAATCTCGCTTAACGAATAATGAGGATATAATTTATTATACACCAATTTCATCTTTCCGTAGAGGATAAAGAAAGAATATATATTGAGAAACACAGCCAGATTACTGTGCATCAACGGAGTGTGGGCGGAGTTAGAAGTTATTGAATTTTCGGTAAATTTGTAGATAGTGACCAATTTTTAAAATATGCATTATTCCTGGTGTAAAAAAAAGTCTGATTATTAAAAAAAAAAAAAATAAAAATAAAAAAGGAAATCTTAGTTGGGTAAGCCGCCTCAGTCAGGAATCTGCGAAGGCGCTCAGTATGAGGAAATCGAGCAACACATTGCTTCAACTGTAATTGATCTGATGGTCTGGTAATCGAACGTACGCCGACCAGTAGTCGTAAGCAGAAACCCAACAAAGACCGACAATATCTACTACACAGTAGTTTCTTCAATTTTTATAATAATCAGCTCTTTTTGACACCAGGAATAATGCATTTCTTTTAAATGCATCATTATCTGCAAATTTACCAATTTGCGATTTTTAAGAATTATAAGTAAAAGATGGAAGAACAAAGTCGATCGTGATGGAGGGGTACTGTACGAACGGGTGGAGTACCCTAATTCCAATATTAGCTCAGTATTAAAAGCTGTTAGGCCTTTAATGCTTTAAATGCCGAAATTATTCCTAGTTTCATATGCAAATTTAAGATTTTTTTTTTATAAAATACAATGCTAAAAAGAAAAACTTAGCATTTTTCAGTGTCCGTACGTTGAAACATTTTAAAATCAGTTTAATAGCCAGTTATGTGCCATGCGTGATACACGCTCAAGCGATCACGTAACTTTCGATATGACTGACGAGGCAGATTATTTCCCGTATAGTAGGTTGCCATTTCTTTCTGCAGTAGACCAGTTGCCATCCAAGACTATAGAACCCGGTCTGTCCTGCTATTTTACCCATAGCTGGAGGAGAAGAGGATTCATACCTTTCCCCAAGAGTATTAGCATGTTAAGTGAATGTAATGGATTAGACTGGAATTCGAACTGTTCTCAGATTCCTCAATCCGAGCAGTTATCCATTACTCCAGTTAAATTAAAATACGTAAAACTAACAAGATGGTGTGTTTTTTTTTTTGGTTAATGAAATGAAAAGGATTATTAAACAAAGTATGAACACCGAACTCGCTTTTAAGGTTCGGTTTTACATTGTGAGTACTTATTTTTACTGTCTAATCAGTTTTAGAAGGTAACTCATTTTTTTTAACCAGAGTATTTTTAAGATTATTCAATGAAACATGTTTGAATAAAGATACGCTGCCTAAAAGGGTGGGCCAGATTTTATAGATAAGAAATAAGTGTATAATAAAAAAAAAATAAAGAGTATCATTCATTGAGGCATCTAGTCAGCTTTCTTTAGGGAAAGACAAAACCTGTCAGTTTTTAACAATCCTTTTGAAGCCTTAACCTTCAGTTTCATTACGCCGATACTTAATCATGACCGGTCGTTGGGGGGGGATCATTCAGATCAGTTCTTAGAAGTGACCAGGAATTTCAAATTGGAACTGGGCTTTCAATTTCACAACACCCACGTTAAGAAATATTTTAATCCCCAGTTTCAAGAATTATTTAAAATTAAAAAAAAATTTAAAAGAAAAAAATAAAAAAAGTCTAAGTCATTTTTGTTCGGGCTATCAAAATCAAAGAATATTTCAGATATAAAAAAAAAAAAAAAATCCATTTTCTTAAGCTTCAATGTTAAAGTAAATGATAGCTTAAATTATTTTCTTTCAGACTATAATTAGAATTGAGAGAAAGTGAAGCTGTGCAAGATCAGTTTGAAATTTAGTTCAATGAAGAAAAAAAAATTTAGACAAATTATTTTAAAATAAAAACTGATGTTAAAAAAAATAAAATTCTCATTGAAGGCACAAATAATTAAAAAATAAAAAAAACTGCAATAAACTTCAAATGGAAATACATCACTTACTTTGCTAACGTGCGAGATCAGCTAAGCAGAAACTTCTGAGATGTTAGCCGTAGCTATGACACACACTCAATTGATACTGAAAACCGGCTAGATTCAGTATTTATACCAAAATTCATGGAACATTCTGGAACATTCTAGTATATTCTACTACTATGGTGTGCTTAGCGTAACTTTTTCAAAAGAGTGGTATTTTAGAAATTATTTTATTTCTAATGGTATATATAAATTCACAATATTTTGAATAAAATTGCCATATTTTCGACACTAGAAGGATTTTTAGTGTGAACTATTTGCCGTCGAAGAACGACAGTTCCGGTTTTTACCGGATGTTACTAATTTCTCGATATTTCTAGAATTCGCTAGCCTGGACCTAACCTTGCTTTTACCTTTGACCTACACGAAGCCACAATAGCAACAGGACAATTTATTGATTTTAAATAGTTATCATTAATTAGTATTGAAAATGTTTTTGCTTGTATTCATAATTAATTTACTGCTTTAGTTATTTTTTTAAAAGAAAAAAACCTGTAGAAATAAAATAAAGTCTACTTTCGATTTCGCTGTGCATATTGTCTAAAAAAATAAAACTTAAAAAAAGTAATATTTTTTTATTAAAATACTTTCTTTAAAAAAACCACGGGTTAAACAACTAGTAAAAAATGCAATGCTTTTTGTTTTGATTTTTTTCAAGTTTACCTTAATTCTCACAACTTTTTAACTAGAGAAAATTTTAACTTAAATTTCTATTTAAATTACATTTTTTTTTTAATTTCTAAATTCGAAAGCTGTATTATTTGAAAATGAAAAATAATATAAAAAAAACCTTGTTAATCTTCTGTTTTTAGTTACCTCTTTAGCTTCATTTTTTTGTATAATTCAGTTATTTTCTTGCAAAAATCGTTGCATAAAGTTGAAGAAATAAATGATATGTTTAAATTTAACATTTTATTTATAGTCTAAATAAAAATAAGCAATGCAAGCGAAATATGCATTTCTATCCATAATTTTTATTTTTTACAGGTGTAAGTAAATAAATCATGACTGAAATAACATGCATATTTCATATATAGCGTTACTGTGAAAAATAGATGCTGATTATTGCACAAAGTAAAAGACCACTTTAGAACAATTCTTTTCCTTAATCTGAAAAAAAATTTTAAAAATCAAGAGATTGTTAATTTTGTTTTGGTTGACTTAACTTACAATTTGGATTAACCATAATTATTAATTAAATCTACTTTTTTTTAGCCCTTGAAATACTGCTGCATGCATGCCATGATGAGACAATTTATTAAATTTCTGCAGAAAGAAAATGAAATATAATGATTATTTTATATAATTATCATTATCCTAATTTCTGTCGTTGTTTTATTTTTTTATTTCATTTTTATAAAAAAATAATACTGTTTTGTACATATACATATATTTGCACTTACAAAAAAGATTCACAATACAATTTAGACTAGAGACATGATGCTAGTGATAATAGAGAAACATCACATATTTTAAAATTTAAAAATCTTTTTTAACCTTATTTTTTACATGACATGTACGTGAAACCCCACAATTTAAAGATATTCTCTCTATATTAAAAAGAAATCATATTGACTTCACTGATACTTATAATTTTTTTTATTATAATAAAAAAAAAATGAAAATGTGAAAAAAAAAAAAAGGAAGCTCCGTTTTTTTTCCGCGAAAATTTTGAGCACACCACGTGTTTCTTCTTTTGTTCAGCACTCGACGGCTAAAAACCAGACATGCCGGTATACTATTGCTCCTACTTAACGATTATAACGACTGTCTACCGAACTGGTGATACTTGTAACTACACAATGATACATGTACAAGTTAGAAAACTTTAACTTCCAATCACTGATAAAAAAAAGTTTTTAGCACTAGCACAATAAAATCTACAAAACAAATCTTTGCCTTTTTAGTTTTTTTATATCACCTCTAGTTTTTCTGACTACACTACTACTTATACTACTCACGAATTGGTTATAGGTACATACATCAGTATAGAAATTTAATAGAATTATTAGTTGTCACTAATAAATGGCTAATTTTATTATTCAGTCTTACTAGTTTCAAAATAGTCAAAATATGTTTTGTTTTTTAATAAATATATTTTATTTTGTTGAGTATCGGCGCAATGTTCTTCATAGCAATTTTGTTGCAAATAAAAAGAAAAGTGTTAAAAAAAAAAAAAAGTAACACACCATGAAAAGCTTATCGAAAATAAATTAGCAAGCAATTTAAAAATTGATTCGTTTGCTTTATTGAATGTTTATTTAAAATGAAAGAAAACAATGCTTTTTTTGTACGTTGCTTAGTACTAGGATAAAAACTTAAAAGGAACAGAGAGATAGAGGTACCGACGTAACGTACAGAAGACATGACAAAATGGAAAAATTCTGTTATGAGTTTCACATCCTTCGAAAAGACTTCTTCAGAATAATGTTCTTTACTTTAATTCATGTACCATATTATTATCGCATAGTGTAACATAGGATCGTTTACATTTCGTCATTCAATTACCCACTGTTAGCCTGAAATAGAAAATTAGATAGACACTAGGAAATCGAAATACAATATACAAAAAAAAATGAAGACAAATGCTTCACACCTCGCTGCATATAAAGGGGTAGAAGGTTTAACAGCTGATACTTGAAGTGTCCTAAATAGAAGGGCCGAAGAAAATAAGCGATTTTCTCTAGGGCCCCAGTATCACACTTGTTGTGAAAGAATTATTGAATCAATGATTATAATTATGATGAGTAATAATACTCATCCCCAACCAATATGGATTTTTAATCAAATATTTTAATAATTCTATGTGTACTATTATTTTTCATATGCCAGTCCCTCTCTGGCCACAATTCAAATCTCACCGCGCTAACGGTCATAAACATTACAGTAAGAAGGCGACTTGAGAAATGTGGAAAAAAAGCAAGACAAATTAAAACTTGTTTAATTTCAGTCGAACACTTGCTTTGTAGCTAGGAAAAATCGTTGGAAGATCCAAATTAACATTTGAAATTGCTACTTTTGTTTTATTTTCTAACCAGAAATGACGATGTCCAGAAAACGATTTTTTACACATTTATTTTGATAAACTTTGGAATGAAATAATTAGGCCTTATTTCAGAATTTACTTCTTTTTTTATTTGTGAGTTCTTAATAAATAACACTAACAATTAACAACATTTAACCTTGGATATTTAAAAGTAAAACTAAAAAAATAATAGAAGTTACTCAACAAGATTCAAGAAAAATATTGAAATATGAAAGGCGATTCGTAATATGCACACGTGTCGAGTTTATAATTCGAAGGGAGTGGTAAACGAAACCGTAAATGAATTTTCATTTTACTTCTTCCTTCACAAAAAAAAAAATATCAATGCACAGGATGAAAATAAAACTGAAATATGGTGATTTATTTTTCTGGAATCAAAAAATGTGAACATGACTAAGATAGGGACAGCGCTATGTGGAGTGATTTTTTAAAGAGATCCATTCTTAAATAAAAAACTAAAAAGCGAACAGTCAAGAAGAGCATTTCTACTTTTTAGACTCAATAACTGTCATGGGATGTCAAAGCCAAAGATTGACTTTGTCATTGACATTAAAAAAAACTATTTTCATCATATGTTAATTTAAAAAATGTATTTTATTTTCATCTGCATTTTTTATTCTATCATTTTTAGCTTTTTGTTTTTTATTCGAATTATTTTTAAAAACATTTTCAGCAGGGTTAGTTTTTTTACCATCAATACAATTCTGTTAGTTAATTAATTTTATAAATTTTAGTTAATTTTTTTTTTAATTTGATGTGAGAAAACAAAACAAAAAGACTTTTTAGTTAAAGAAAAAAAGTTAAAATCAGTAAAAATAGAAAAAGTTTTTTTAATTATTTACTGATTTTTGCGAACCAGTACTTCTACTTTATTTATAGTCATAATTTTGATACATTTTTATTTTTTATAAATATAGCTATTTGTTTCACAAATTCTAAGAACTATACTATCCTGTCAATTTCACGTAAGGGTTGCACACACAAACACACACACATATACCATTCTTCTCTCTATGTGCAGTTCGTTAAAAACAGGTATCAGCGTGGAAAGTGGTTTCAGCAAGTGTGCTCTGCTCAATTTTTTCCTATCTGCTTGGGTTAAATAAGAGCAGACTGTGTTCTTTAGCCTTGGGTGGCAGTCAGTCTAGGTGGATAACTGAATCCAACACCGTGGAAGGACAACAACAGGAAACCACTGCACTAACATTACCAAGAAGTCATGACAATTCACTAATAGAAAAAGGATCTGTGAAAAGTCATGATATCACACACGTCCTGAAGGAACATGGCATTATGCTATATTTCTGGGTTAGTGCTCAATATCAGGAATAGAGCATATAAAAGTGGACGTTGAAGTCAACACTCAGAGGTGACAGTCTGTTTCATGCTAAACGCAAACGTCAAGACATGTTGCATTGTGTTTTATTTGCACAACTATTTATATATACTATTTATTGATGCATTATGGGTCCGGTAGACTTATTGTATTAGTCTAATGGTTATCTGCAGGGGGCAGTAACAATTATGTTTCATTCATATTATTCTAAGGGCTATTAAGTGGAAATTATTGTAGATCCAGGTGCAGTTTTGCAGTTTTGTGGCTATTTTATTGCAATTGGGTATTGCCACTGAGTGTTGACTTGAATGTCCACTTTTATATTTACTTACACTCTATCCCTGATAGCATACTTTAGCCCATAAATATAGCATAACACTATATTTTTTATCATATATATATATATATATATATATATATATATAATAGTTTTTTGTTAAAAAATATGATTTTTAAGCTACATAAGAGTTGTCATGTTTTCAAAAACGAGGCCAGAAACCATCCAAATAATTATTAAAATTAAGTTGAATTGAGGTGTTTAATCCCGTTTCATCTTCAAGCGAAATTTTACGAATTTAGATTCTAAGCGAAATTTTAGGAATCTAAATTCCTAAAATTTCGCTTGAAGATGAAACGGGACTAAACACTTCAATTCAACTTAATTTTAATAATTATCTGGATGGTTTCGGCTCTCGTTTTTCAAACATGACAACTCTTATGTAGCGAAGGAATCATATTTTTAAACAAAAAAATATTATTATAATAAAGCTCTACTTCTGTATAGAGCACTGTCTTCTTAAAAATAAAAACAAAAATACTAAGGAACACCGGATTATGCACCCAACGTGTTCTTTTCTATTTTCTGCATACCTGCGCACTTATAGATATATATATATATATATATATACACACACACACACAAAATAAGATTTTAATTTATTTTACTTATTTTTGTTTTGTTTTATTTTATTTTTTATTTTGTTTATTCTTGTGAAAATACATAAATTCATCCAAACCAATAAATAAGTAATTAAACTAAGTAAATAATAGACAAATTAACTGGTGGAAATAAAACAGAAAAAAAGATTTATACTGTTAACAGATACATTTTCTGAGTTTTATGCATGTCGCAATTATCAGGTGTGGATTGAAAACTGAGTATTGTAAAATTTGTATGTTATTATTTATAACCTATTGTTAAGATAGTGGAGTAGTCCATTTACTCATGAAAAAAATATTCCTAAAAATAAATTAAATACAGAAAACAAATAGATTTTTAAAAATACACTTATATACATCCAATTACAAACATATATATATATATATATATGTGTGTATGTATGTATGTATGTATGTATACTAACTTAAAACAACCCTATCAGGTGGAATTTAAGCTAGCTCCTGCGGAGGGCTCTCGATTGGACCTTCAGCCCAACAATGACACTTCATGCACTGAGTACATATTAAATTTTATTAAACTTGAACAAGATTTTTCAAACAACAGTTTTCATCAAAACAATGATATAATTTGTCTATTTGGAATTTATTGCAAAGCTGCATGATAAGCATTTTTGGCTTTCCCATTCAGGGTCAGTAAAAATAACTTGTTTCCATTCCCAACTCTTGAACAACCAACATAGAGATGGCCATGAGAAAAAGTATGGTTCTATTAGATGAAGTCCAGTTATATTCAATGATTGTCCTTGGGACTTATTGATTGATATTGCATAGATCACTCTCACTGGAAACTGAAGTCTTTTGAACTCAAAAGGAAGATATGGAGGAATTAAGGGGATTCTTGTATTTAAAATTCTTTCCTCCTTTCCTGGGCCATTAAGGATCTCTGCTTCCAAGTGAAGAAGATGAGATATTTAAAAGTTAGAGAGTTATGTCTCTTTAATTGAAAAAAGTGTGATACACAGAGATTTTCACATTTATTATATATATATATATATATATATATATATATATATATATATATATATATATATATATATATATATATATATATATATATATATATAAACACAATTTAATGAAAACAGACAACTTTAAGGGTCCATTGGTTATAATTTATTTACCCAGGGGAATTTCTTTTTCCTAGCTCATCACCACACATCCATTATATATATATATATATATATATATATATATATATATATATATATATATATATATATATATAATTGCATATTTGGGCAGCAATCTCTTTCAGTTTTATTAAAACTTTTAATTTTCTTCTTTTCTGGAATAAATTCTGTAGAAATTTTCTGAATGTTCAGTATGTCTGAATACTTTCGGCTATACTTTTACCTGTTATCATGGATGATTTTATTTTTACTTTTAATTGAAATGTATGGATTGTTTTATATATGTATCTAGAGTTATAGGAATGTTTTATTTTACAAACAAGGTCAGCACATTGTGGCTGTGTTCATAGTTAATATTATTGAGAGTTGGCCTTTTCTTTTTTATTAATAATTCTTCCAATATTTTTCATCTTCTTTTACAAATATAAATATAACCTCATCCACATGTTACATAATTGCAATAAAACCTAAAGATATGGAAGTGAATTTATACATTTTCTTTGTTCTTGTGAATTGACAACAAAAATAATAAACACTATTTATTTATTGAATTGTTTATTTATATTGCTACTGGCCAGAGGAGTTTTTTGGCACAATAGGTAAAACTTTATGCAATTAATCCTATTTTTTTTCTTAAACTTCATTTTAATTAGATGGACTATTAGTTGATTGTTTAAAAAATTATTGACTTTGTGTAACTTTTTTAAATTATGATTTTTAATATGAACTGTAAAAATAAAGTTTTTTCAAATCTTAACAAACATGAAGTTATTTTTCCTTCTCCTTTACAATTTCAATTTATATTATTTTTTCCTTCTTATCGACAGGTTAGAACCAGGCATATAACCAAACCTCCAAATCTTTCAGATCTTAAATTATGTTATGTTTAAACTTAAATTCTTTGGCAGTTGAAGAAAAATAATTTTCATGATAATTTATATCTAATAATTTTTCTTTCTTTTGGTTCTATTAGATAAACAAGAAGTTTAGCTTAGTTTTCATCCCTGCTGTAACCTTTCAGTAACCATTGTTAACCCTCAATCTTTCAATGACCTTTTTAAAACTTTTAAAATCTACCATCAGTTGTAGAGCAGCACTTAGATTGCTGAAAGAAACTACTAACCTCATTTGATCAGAGCAAGAGGTTAGGGATAAAAGTACAAAGAAAAACTTTGTCTGGTACAGGGTCACAATAATAGGACACCCAGAGTGGATGGAATAAACTACTACACTAACACACAATCTGCAAGACTTTACTTTATAGTAGGAGCCCAGAAGTTTTTGACATATGTTCAGTTTGGAGTCACAAATGAGTCTAATGGTTAGAAGCAAAAAATGAAAAAACTGGCAAAATGAGTTTTGGTTTTGTTGTATTCCGTGCTAATAGGAATATATACTTGACAA